ATCGGAGGCAGGCCTCGATGCCGGAGCTGTTGAGGTCGATGGTTTCTCGGTGTCCATCACTGAGGAAGGCTGTAGAGCCGATTCTAGCAGGGCCACTTTAAGGCGCGCAGCTCGGTTTTTTCGGGTCTGGTTTGAAAAGCGAGCACAGTGGCGACAGGATTCGGGTCGATGAGACTCTCCGAGACAAAGTATGCAAAGGGTATGACGGTCAGGAGGAGCAAGTTTACTACCGCAACCCTTGCACCTATTAAAAAAGCCCCACATTCTTCTCCATAAAAACCAAAATGAAGAAGAAAGAAGGGGTGAGGAGGGGGGATAGCCTGAAGGCCCGACTGAGGTCAAGCGGCAACCTCCCCTCAGCAGAAAATAAGGTTTTTAAATGTTTTTTGAAAGAACAACGAAGAAAAGGAATAAACTGAGGGGAAAATCTAAAGAGCCGTGAGGCAAAAAGCCAAAACACGCGAACCGATCAGACCGACGAAGAAAAAGGTCTTTCCAACACGGTGGTAAGAAAGGAACTGGCGGGATGTCTGTGCCCTCCCCTCTGGGCATGCGCAGTGGGGTTCCTGCACATGCCCGAGGCCTGGGCGCGAAAATCCGTTAAAAGAGCTTGCTACACTGCCGATCGATCCAGCTCATGCGCACTAGATCCCATGGGTGTGAAGCACAGAGACCACGTTGAAGATCAGCCAGAGACTTAGCCCATGGCTCACAGTGTGTGGCTGAAATGTGGTCCTGTGCTTTTGTTCGTATTTCATTTCACTGGTTTAAATTACGCTTATGTTTGTAAGGCACTTTGGGTCCCCACTGGGGAGAAAAGGAGTGTAACAGACTGCCTAAGAAAACCTGGTTCTCCCTCCACTTATAAGTTCCCAAATAGCAAGACACACACCTCACACCTTGGGCAGCCGGTGCCAGTAAGAATGGGCAATGCTGAGATAGATGGATCCTGGGGGAAACCCCCCCCCCTTTATCCTCACAATACCCCTGTGAGGTAAGTTAGCCAGAGCTAAAGTGACTGGACCAAGGTTTCCTCAGCAGCTTCATGCTTAAGGGGGGGGGAGGTTGAATGCAGGTCTCCCCCACCAGGCCCATATCCAGGATTTCTTTAAGTCAGGGGGGGCATTTAAATTTCTTAGGGGGCACTGACTAATCAAATTAATCCGGGGGGAGAAGGCCGTGATGCCCTGGGCTGGATGGGAAGTCGTGAGGCCACTGTAGCTACGGGCCTGCCCCCCTCTCCTAGTTCCACACTCCAACCATTCCCATGCCACAATTTATTTATGTTATTTATTTAAAATATTGATATGGTGTTAAGAGTAATGATTGCTAACCTTGGCATACATGTAAGGACCAGACATGGTTGAATGCAGGTTGAATTACATCTGCACCAGTCCGGGAACAGGCCCTGAATGCAGTGACTGAACAATTGCATTTTGTTTATTTTCCTTCCCCCCACAGCTTGTGTGTATGTGAGAGAGAGAGAGAGAAAATCTTGTTTACTAATTGGAAACTTCTAAGGCAACACTGGGAAGGAAGGCAACGGTGGTACAGCCTGATCGTGTCAGATCTCAGAAGCTAAGCCGGGTCAGTATTTAGAGAACAGACCACCAAAGAAGACTCTGCAGAGGGAGGGGGTACCAAACCACCTCTGCTTCGCACTTGCCTTGGAAGCCCCTTGCTGGGGTTGCCATAAGAAGGTTGCAACTTGACAGCACACACACACACACACGCAGAATGCATTGTTAACTTTCCTCCAATCACACTGAAAGACCTCCCCTGTACCTCGAATTTCTGGGCCTCCGATCTCAGCTTCTCTAAGTTCTGCCCAAGTTCCGCTAGCTTGTGATCCACGCTGGCCGCATCCCCCATCTGTGGGTTCTTGATGTAGACGTCCTTCATTTTTGTTAAGGCATCTCTACAAAAAGCAAAGAAAGTGGGTCAACTTCCAGGAAGCTGGAGGTGGGAGGCACCCTTTTGAAGGGTGTGTTTGTATGGGGACTTGGAAACTTTTCCCCCACCCCCAAAAGAACCATATGAGGTAGTTTAGGCTGACTAATAGTGATGTACCCAGGATTGACCAGCGAGCTTCATGGTTCGGCATGAAGATCTGAACCTGGTCTAAATCTCCTTGACAGCACTCTAAATGGCTCTCATCCAGTTGCCGAGATCTGGGTTCAATCTATGGAATCCCTGGTTAAAAGACTCGTACGTTGTTCAACCTGCAACGCTCCTTGCTTGAGACTCTGAGGAGCTACTATGAGTCAAAGCAGAAAGTGTTAGGCTCAACAATCTGAATCAATATGCAGCTTTATAAATCTGTATACCATAGGCAAATAAATGTAGTTTACATTGTGTAAGCAGAGGCACTTTACTGGCTGCCGCTGGAGACTGCCGCTTTCCTAAATCACTTTAGGGGCATGAAAAGATAGTGGAGAAATAGGGGACTGCCTCGCATTCTGGGTTGTCTTCTTAGCCCTCCCCAGAGTCCATCTGGGTCAACTATAAGGGAGGCTAGCTGAGATTACAGAGGACCTTGTCAACTTCCAGAGAAAATGCCCTGTTGTTGGTCCTCTGGAATAACTAGTTGATGCTGGACTAGATGGACCATTGGTCTGATCCAGCAAGGCCTTTCTTCTTATGAGCGCTGGGGGGTGGGGTGTAGTTACACCAGCTGAAGATTGGAAATGGATTTAGTCTACGATTTCTCCTAACTTCATTTCAGCAGATATACAGGAGAATCATTAATCTCCGTACCTGATACCACATACAACTAAGTCGTACAGACAGTCTTGCTCTGGCTGTATGTTGTTATTGTGAGAGCTCTGGAGCAGATGCCCTACACGTATTTTGGCAATGCTCACCAACAGGAAGATACTGGAAGGAAGTTTTAGAGCTAATCACGGAAATGGCGGGATGTAATCTTCCGCTGAATCTTAATGGTTATTTTGTTGGGGGGGGGGGTTTCTAAAAAATAGAGCCTATGGGGAAGATTTGGAAATTATGCTCGACTTCACTATGGCAGCCCTTACAAGGCCAGCTTCCTATTGGGAGAACAAGGCAACCATCTCCCATCTTAGACCAGTACAGAAGGATCTGGAAGACGGAGTTAATGCCAGTCTTGAAGAATAGGAAGTAGAGTACAGAACAATGCAGCCACTGAAAAAGATTTGCTAGAATCAAGTCTTTAGAGACCCACAAGGTTTTCGAAGTAGAAATTTTCGAGAGTCAAAGTCCCTTCTGTCAGGTACCAAGATCTGTAATTCAACGGAAGAGCAAATACTTTGAAATATACAATGGTTTGGGGAGGTTTCATTGTTGGTAGCCAGCAAGGTTTGTAATTTTATCTGCATGTGTGTTCAATACTTATATAGCATATGTATGAGAATGACTGAATTAAAAAATATATGGGAGGCTCTGACCTCCAAGGGGAAAGCTTTGGCTTCCATGCTCGACTCGGAGGGCACCTAGCTGGCCACCGTGGAAAACGAAATCCTTGAAAAGATGGGCCTAATCTAGCTCTTTCTATGCTTTCATGATGTTTCCTGAGTTTCCTTGAAAGAAGTGAAAGAAGCGCCCTGTTCTCAAAAGTTTTCAATTAATCGACATGGTGTTTAACTATCTGCATAGCAGATCTCCATGTTGATTCCTTCCATTAAGTGAGCAAGCAGGGAGGCTCCAGCTAGAAGCTGGCCAGGCAGACACTCTGGCACAGGGCGTGTATGCGTCTCGGGGCAGACCCCCTTTGGCCACGGAATCTGGAGGGCGCAGTCATCTCCTTCATCAGGGCCTCGCAGGACTGGCCATGAAAGGACTTGTGACTCATTGAGATGAATGCTGCCCCGTCAGCAGACATCTTGTGGCCGGATTGGTGCTTGAAAACGCTCCCTTGCTGCTCCCTTCTCCGCCAGGCATCAAGAGGAAGCTGCTTTAATGGTGGGGTTTAATTGGGATCAGGAAGCAATCCTGGAGGGTTTTTTTGACATCTCCTGGGCATGGGCACAGGGGTCACTGCGGGTGTGGAGGGGGGAGGTACTTGTGAACTTCCTGCCTTGTGCAGGGGGTTGGACTAGATGGCCCTGGAGGCCCCTTCCAACTCTATGGTTCTAACCATCCAACGTACGTGGCTGCGGGACGTGTGTGGGGCCTGGTGGATCCCACAAGCTTGATTACAGCCTGGTTCTATGGAACCCCTTCCAACTCTATGGTTCTATGGTACGTGGCTGCGGGACGTGTGTGGGGCTTGGTGGATCCCACAAGCTTGATTACAGCCTGTGGAAGACTCCCCTGCCTCCCATCTGGTTAAGTGTTCTCACAGGTCTCTGGGCAGAGAAAGACGTCTCTTGCACCTGGGCTGGCAGCCAGCTCAGAGGGAAGGGCCAAGCCTTGAATAAGGGAAGTTCCCGTAACAGAGGATGCTCCTGCCCAGAATGCCCCGGCTCTGCCAATTGCCTCTCACTCGCCACGTAGATCACTCCCGACATTGTGCTCCCCTCCTCCCCAAGCAATGGGCCAATTAAGGGCAGCCTCCAGAGCAGAGCTCACCCGCAGCCTGGTGTCATCTGAGAGAATCTGCCTGTTTTCAGATTTACAAGTCGCAAAAAGGACAGAAAGGTTTTAACAGCCAGCAAAAGTCACAAGGGGTGGGGGTGGGGGGGGAATCAACGCAGGTCCCAGAAATCCAGCAACCTCTGAAGGCTCACAGGGCTGGCGCCTAGCACCCAAGGGAGCAAAAACCCGGCTCCTTTTCCCACAGACCTCCCCGACGGCCCTGGTCTTCCAGGAAACCTCATCGGACGGGGCCACGAGAAGCAGACCGTCCAGGCTCCCCGTTGTGACACCTCTGCCCACTAAGACGGCATCTCATTTACCAGGGAGGGCTGCCTCGGAGCTCAAAGGGAAAGGAAGGTTCCTTGTGGACACGTGAGGCTGACTGACGCTGAGTCAGACCGCTGGCCTCTCAAAGTCAGTATTGTCCACTCTGACGGGAGGTTGCTCTCCAGAGCCTCACCTCCGAGGTCTTTCACATCACCTACTGCCAGATCCCTCGAACAGGAGACGCCTCCAGGGACTGAACCTGGGACCCTGCTGCACAGCCGATTCCCTGCCTCTGAGCCACAGCCAAGAGGCTGTGGCTCAGAGGCAGGGAATCGGCTGTGCAGCAGGGTCCCAGGTTCAGTCCCTGGAGGCGTGTGCAGGAGCGCTAGCTCAGCCTTTATGTCACCCGAAGTGCAACTAAGCGCGAAGGAGAGGCAGGCAACGCTCAGTGGCAGAGTGCCGGACTGGCATGTTACTTATTATTTCTGTTACTGGGACTCAAGGCGGACTGCACAAAGTAAGTCAATGAGGTCAACAAGATGGAGAGTTCCAATTACAATGAAATAGGATTTGGGCTGTAGACCAACCAGAAGTCTCAAAAACAGAACTGAACTAAAGTATTAATGTTGAAGGACTGAAATCCAGTGCCCAGGCACAAGGCCTCCAGCAGCAGAGAAAGACATCGGCAGAGAGATGCAGGGCCCAGTGGGAGCTATGGGGACTGTGAGACTCATCTCAGAGACATGCCGGTGTGCCACGGCAAGGGGGCCTTCAGTCCCCAATGAACACCCAAGATCAAGGAGCTACAATCAAAGGCAGAGTCCGGATAGACGACAGACAGGAGGTTTCTGAAGTACATTTGTTCACCACAGGTGAGCACAGAAACAGCCTTGTAACACTGCTGACCAGAGTTTGAACCTGGCAGAGCCTAGGGCTGGCACATGTTTGGGCACCTGGCTACCCGACAGACACGAAAATCGTGGATCGCCACTTGCTTGTAAAAGGCAGACCGCGAGCATGCACAGCCCTGATTCTGAACGGAGAAGGGTTTTAAGGCTCTAATCTCTGCTCAGTTTTAATAACTGAAACAGCACACACACCCCATCCCGCTGGTAGCACTTCAGAGGGAGAAAAAGACGTGTTCTTTCTTTTTTTAAAAAAAAAATTGGTTGTCCCCATTCTTGATCTCAGCCTGGGAGCCAAAAGGTGGATTTGACAGAAGAGCTGAGAAACATTGTGGGACCGGAGGGCCAGTTCATTCCCACTACCCCTGGAGCATGGCTGGGCTCACATTCAGTCTCACAGCTCCGCTGGAGAGCCGCAGACAAGTGCAATCCTTTGTGTGCTTGGAAACATGATGTGCAACTGGAGCGGAGGGGGGGGGGAGCAAAGCAAGGAGTGGGTGGCTGGCAAGCGGGACTGCTGGATGGCAGTTGCCCCAAGGCTGTTGTTCCCGATAGGCCCTCCTTGTGATCTTTGCTGACTATGGTATGCAATACCCCTCCTCCCCCCACACGCAGGGATTTCATGGTTAGGACCCCTCTGACCTATTTTATCTCACAAAGGCTGGGAACAGAAAGCCTGGAGATGACATTAGGCTGAAACGCGTCAATGTATTCAGCTTCTCGGAAAGGAGCAGTGGAACAGATTTATGACGACTGATCTTGCTTTTATTCTGTGTAATAATGCTGGGACCCTTGGGGGTTAGCCAATGATTTTCCCCCTCCCTCTCTCTGGAGTTCCAAGGACTGACCAAATCTGGGACAGGATGAAGCTACTGTCCACTCGGCAGTGCCCGAGCCACAAGACAGTGGCTCTCCGGGGTCTCAGGCCTTCCTCCATCGGGCTGCTGTCGATCCTGTTTCTTTCTTTCTTTTTAAAAACCAGGACATGTTTTACTTGTTTGATGGGGATAAGCAGCGAAGGAAAAAACGGCAACTAATGTATGACGCAGAAGATACTGTTTCCAGGGTCAGATCCTGGCTTCCAAAATGCCAAAGAGAGCAAAGGAAAGGGCAGGTGAGGCTCGTAGCGAGGACCAGCCCATGACTTCCTTGCAGAGGCTTCATCGTGAACGACTTTTGGGTCCCCACCACAGGTTGGGAAGTACTGAATTGGGCCAACCCCACATAGTTAGCGCTGTAGTGCCTGATACAACAAATGTGGGTGGGTGGGGGGCAATGCCCCACTGCTGGACCTCCTGATAGCACCTGGTAACTTTGGCCACTGTGTGACACAGAGTTGGACTAGATGACCCGATCCAACATTGGCTTCTCTTATGTTCTTATGTTCTCTAAGCTGTGGAGTCTTGTGAGCAAAAATTCTACTTGATGAGATACTGGCATTAAAGCTGTGAGCGAGCAATTTGGCTACTGCATAAATTAGTTTGCTCTGGAGCCCTCCTTCCTGAGCTAAGGCAAAAATGTGTGAGCCGGAGGCTACAAAACTGTGAGCTAGCTCACACGAACTCAGCTTAGAGGGAACACTGGTGGGGCGCCCACTGAGCCCTGGCAGCTGCCCCACCTCAAGGCATGCTGCCGTCAGCCCTCCTCTGCCACTGAGCTAAGCTTCACCCCCTTACCCTGTGGGCACTCAGACTGCTTCATGCCAGCAGACTGCTGGTCCATGACCTCTGTCTCCCCAAGTCCCATCTGGACAGCTGCAAAAGTACTTCCAGGGTCCCTCCAGCACCTCGTGCTCTGACGGGTCCTACCTTTGATCCATCTCCTTCTGGATATCTTTGTTGAGCTCGTCCACCTTTTGCTGGAGTTTCTTCCTTCTTTGCTCTGGGGGAAGGTTGCTGAAGTCTTCAGGTCCTGCACCCTACACACAGCACAAATCCATCGAAGTGGGGAGGGAAAAAAGCAGGTTTATAAAATCTAAAGGACATGTCTGCTCTGCAAACCACAACGAAGACTTGAGGGGGAAACACTGGACTTTGGATCTCCCAGATTACCATGAGAAAAGTGAAATCTCCAGTGTTTTATCATCGATAGAAGCTCTGCCTAAAAGGCAGGTTGAGTGCTAAACGGTTCTCTTTCCTTACAAGAATCTGCCTCGTATGGCTTCAGACAATTTTTTTTTTTGCCAAGGAACTGAAGGCAGCATGACAGGAGGCATCTCAGTCTGGTACTGTCTCTGTCAAACAGGTTTTGCAGGTCCTTTTTTCACAGTGCTTCAAAAACCTGTCTGACCAAAGAGAAAACTGTGGTGCAAAAGGAACTGATGCCAGCCACAAGCATGTATCAATGACCCTCTGTCATTCTATGTTCTCTCCTAAACTTGGGATCAGCATGAACTTTCAAAGGCAGTTTCGCTGAAATTCCATTTTCAGCTAGAGTGCTCCTGCTCAAAAGCTGTTGTGCAAAAATCATGCTGGCCGCTCCTGCCCTGTGCCGTGTCTCATTTTTTTCCACCACCCCCTCTCCCCAGCGGGTTTCCCATCCTTAAGTGGGCTTCAAGGTTATTGAGTTGCAGGCACAAGGACAATTTTAAAGCCACACTGGTGCCATTCTGCCTGGCCTCCTGCCCTCACTAATCCTCTAAGCAAGCGGAATTGCAGCTTTTCATCCATCACCTTGAAAACATGCCTAACTGAACATCTGCAGCTGCCTTGGAGGAAGCCAGTGCTTGAGTCCACCTATCTTAGTACTGTGTCCTCTGACTGGCAGTGACCCTCGGGGTTTGGAACAAATAAAAGTCCTGCTACATGAGGTCTTTTAACTGGAGATGCCAAAGTTTGAGCCTTCTACATGCCAATCTGGTGATCTGCCACTGAACCATGCATCTCATTGAAAAGAAAACACGGTGCAATATAACAGAATGTTAATAACTGTGACTATATTGCATGACCTTTGATGCTCATTTTCCATTTCCATGTCTAAGCTGGACATACGAGTATTTCTATGAACATATAAAGCTACCCTATGTTGACACCACTGGTCCATCTTTTATTGCCTCTACTCAGTAGCTCCCTAGAGTTAGACAAGCATCCTTCACAGTCCTTCTAGGCTGGAGATCAAGGATAGGGCCTCATATGTGCAAAGTATGTATTCCTCTGCAACTAAGCCATGGCCCCTCTTCCAGTTAGATATCCCAGTTGCATCCCACCAAAAGAAATGAATTTGGGGACGCCTCTGGCAACAACAGCTCTAGTCCTATTATTTTCAAAAGTATTGTCTGTCTCTCGTTGCAGCCGGCAATGACGGGCACAGGCCGTCCAGTACTTCCCAGTTCTGCTGTCAAAGCTCCCGTGTCGCCCACCTGCTACGTCTCTACCACCTCCTACCCTCCACTTTCCACCCAGCTAGGGAACTCTAGGTGGGGAATTTCAGCTTTCAGTTCCAAGGAAAAAACAAGTCTTCACCCTCTATGGCTTCAGACAGAGAATTAAGAGCATATGGCTGGTGAAGTGTTGGAGGCCAGAGAGCAGACCTGAGGAGAAGTTGCAGCATTTGAAGGCCAAGGTGCCAGCTTTCTGCATGGCTTTCTCAACAGCATCTTAAGGCCGAAACCTGGGGACTGGGGGCAGGGGAGAAAAGCTGCCTTTGGTCCTGTAAAATCCCCTGTACATTGATGATGCTTTTCTGAAATAATATTAATTAGATTGCAGTCAAGTTCCATGGAATTGGCTTAAGATGTGAAATACAACCTTGTATGCAGTTAATGCGCAACTGAAGCCATTCGCTTTGCAGGTTTAAGAAAAGTTTCCTCTTCCCATGCTGCGCCATCCTGCCCTTTGCAACTGAGAGTGGATTTGGGATCAATAGCCATAAAAGTTTCTTTTTCGTTTTGTTTTTTTTAGTTTGGAAATTAAATGGCGTCAACATTATTAGTCACACTTTAAGAAGATTGATTACAGTTGTTAGTTATTCCGAGATGCTACCAGGAGAGGCTGAAAAAATGTACTTCTTGCCTTGCAAACCAAATAACGGTGGCACCCAAATGTGGGAACTATACAGCTGGCATCCCAGTTATGAACTGTCAAAGTGGCTGCTGATCCCAATGAAGATCAGACGGGACCCCAAACGATTCTGATCCGGAATTGCCAGTATGTTGGGCTTGGCTGTGGCATTAACCCCAACACCAAACAACAACTTGCAAGCCAGGAATCAGTCTCACATACCTATGACTTTTGAATGCAGATTTCCTTATAAATGAAGCTGTAGGGAAGATTCCAATTCAGGACAACTGCTGAGAGTCATGTAAATTATTTTGCAATCCACATTCACTGTTCAGTTATAAGTCTGTACAATGGGCCATAGCTCAGTGGTAGAGTACACGCTTTGCAATCCCAGAGACCTCCAGTGCAAAGAGTTCAGCGGGCAGCATGGCTAGGAAAGACCCCCAATGGAGACCTGGAAAGGCTATTACTGTCCTCAGTACTAGGCTAGAAGGGCCAGTGGAGCCCAGTGCAATACGTGCCCTTCTATCAGTTAGCCATCTCTGGCTCAACTGACACCTGTTACAGCACGTCACGGCAAAACTAGGAATTTGCAGAAACACAAGATTTGTGCCACAAACATAAGCCCAGTGCCTAATGTTCCTCCTCTTCCCAACATTGTGTAGTAATCATTAAAAGCATGATGTAACATCATCATGTAATGGGTTTCCCTACCCCACCTCCACATCTCATTGGCTGCTGCACTAAGGAGAACCGGGGCTGGGGGTTAGTGACATGATGTCACATATAATGGGGAAATAGGAGGAAGCATGAGATTCTGGACTGCCACCACTGATAGCAGTCGTGTGGTTTTGACAGCATCTTGTTCCTCACCAATTTGTTGTGAGGGTATCCAGCCTTTCAACAGGAGAGTATTCCTAGAGCTGCATGATATATTTCTGCCTGCAGAAGCATTCTGTGCAATCCAGGAGCTTGCTGCATTATTACCACAGTTGGTCCTGTTTTACAAGTCAGCACCATTTTTTTATTGCCTTGCTTCCAATATACTGAGCACTCCATGTTACTTCTGCCAAAAGTAAGTATCTTTCTTTGTTGTTGTTCAGTCGCACAGTTGAGTCTGACTCTTTCTAACCAAAGGCAATAGTTTTATGTATATTTCAGCAACAGATCCCATTTTGGGAATAAAATGCATTACATTTTTACAGCCTGGGTTACAATTTTTTAAACAAGACAACAACTTATGATGTAACTAAACTACTACATTTAAGAGTTAATTTTGAGCAGCTCGTTAAAAAATATTAAAGTTGGCATCACCTCCATTAAATTCCAGACCTGCATATTCAAAGTTATCTGATAAATATCAAAGCAAAAAAACAAAACAGAAAGATGACAAGAAAAATTAATTTCAGGGCTGTCTTTGTAGGGAAGCAAGTCATGCACATACACAATTGTGATTCACACACACAAACACATAGAACAGGCATGCTGCAACTGTGCTTACCAGCTTGAGAGAAAGCTTCAGGCAACAATGGAGAGATACAGGGAGGGGAAAGAGAGAGAGAAAAAAAGAAGTGTGTATCAGTAGAAGAGGAACTCCATCTGGTTCCATGGTTATAACAAAATGACACACTCACACACACACACATTTTCCTCACGGCTTGTGAAAATGGACACCGCTTGTCACAGATCTGTGCAAAAGTTCACAAGATTGGGGAAGAAAAGCTATCAAACAGCTGCCATTTTGCCCGTGGATGTGGACCAGGAAAAGACAGTTTTGGCTTTTTGCCTTTGGAACAAAGAAGTGCACCCCTCATTCTGAGGTAAATCTGCATCTTGGATGTGTTGATTCAGTATACTCAATGCTTGCAAGCTGGGTGACACTAGCACACAGCCTATGTGCAATCCCTGCACAGAGCACAGCCGGCCACCAAAGCCTTTGGGTCATACTTCCCCCCACTTCTCTACAAAACTGCACTTTGCGTGTTTTCCAGTTTAGTGATAAAATGCTGAAGTGGGCCTGTGGGAAGCTGGATGTAGACATTCCCCTGACAGAAAGTACCCTGTTTTTTTCTCACTGCTGAAGAAACCACCACTCCTCTGAGCTCCGTGGAAACCAAACTGGAAGGAGGAACGCAGAAGAGATGGAGGCAGGGCACGAGTGCGGAATGAGGCCATAAACAGAGACGGCAGAATTCCAGTCAGGACCCCTTCGGGCTGCGGGCATGTGGGGGCAGGGGGCAGTGTCATATTTATAAATGCTCCCCCCCAATCCCCTAATTCTTTGCAAGTGGTAAAGTGGTAAACTGACACATTAGGAAGAGAGCTGAGCTAAAACTGCCTCCCTAATATATGGCAGGAACCTTGTCGCTGTTTTGTTCTTGTTTTTTTTAAGTGAGATACTCAACCTAGCAGTCCGAAAGCAGGAAATTGCAAGTAGATAAATAGGTACCACTTCGGTGGGAAGGTAACAGCGTTCCGTGCGCCTTGGTGTTTAGTCATGCCGGCCACATGACCACGGAAATGTCTTCGGACAGCGCTGGCTCTTCGGCTTGGAAACGGAGATGAGCACCGCAACCCTAGAGTCAGACTCGACTGGCTTTCGAGCAAGGGAACCTTTACCTTTACTTTACTCAAATATATGACCTTTCTGGTGTGAAGCAGTAAAGCACAGGATTGTTCCAGGGCAGAGCACTCCATGGGAAAGGGGCTTTCCTTGGTAATGCCACAGGAGGGGCGGGGTGGAGGCTGTCAGGAGAGATTTGGTAGATGGAGAGGCTTAACCCTTCTCTCGCCCATCTGAGTGAGTTGCCCCTTCAAAGACAGTCCAAGCCCAACTGTGGAAGTAGCCGGGCTACACTGAAAAATAACCGTGCGTGTGGGAAGTGCCATCCAATTGCAGCCAATTTACTACAATCCAGTAGGGTTTTCAATGAAAGAGATATTCAGAAGTGGTTTGCCGCTGCCTGCCGCTGCGGAGCGAGCCTGGACTTCCTTGGTGGTCTCCCATCCAAGTACTAACCAGGGATGACCCTGCTCAGCTTTCGAGATCTGGTGACATCGGGCTAGTCCGGGCCATCCAGGTCAGGGTAAAAAATAACTGGGGAAGAAACTGGTAGGCAGAGGAAGGTGCGTGCCTCCCCTCCAGTTTGGTGTACTGCTTAGGAGCGCGGACTCTAATCTGGGAGAACCAGGTTTGATTCCCCACTCCTCCACTTGCAGCTGCTGGTGTGACTTTGGGTCAGTCACAAGTTCTGTCAGAGCTGTTCTCTCAAGGGCAGTTTCTGTCAGAGCTCTCTCAGCCCCACCTCCCTCGCAGGGTGTCTGTTGTGGGGAGGGGAAGGGAAAGGAGATTGTAAGCTGCTCTGAGACTCCTTTAGGTAGTGAAGGGCGGGGTATAAATCCAATCTCTTCTTCTTCTTCTTCTTCTTCCTGCCTTCCAATCGTCCCTACATATGCTCCCCATTGTCTGCATTCACTTTAAGTGCAGACACCGAAGCAGAAGCCCTGTGTGGGCCAAAATAATGCATCATTCCCATCTCAGGGCGTATAGCTCAGCCCTCAGAATCTTTTCATGTGGGGTGTTCCTCCTGGTACTTGTGCCATGTGCCTATGAGGCACATGTGATCTAATGCAAGAGAATCAAAGGCACACATCTAGACCATGTGACCCTGTAATACAAGTTTGCATTACAGACTGATTTAAGGTCTGTGTGCTGAAATGCCCTGATGCGTCTATCAGCCTCCATCTTGCTGTGAACACCACGGCCCTGAGGATCACAGCAACCTTTTCAGTCGCTGAGGTCACGAGCGATGCTTGGGAGCGGGGGAGGGGCGGCGGCGAAGGGGAGCGACACAGCAGACAGCAGCAGGATTCGCTCTCCTGTGGATATGCTGAGCCTAGCGTAATTTAGCGTAATTTATTTCTAAAATTATTTAAATTATTTAAAATGATGAATTCTTCTCTTACAGTATTGTAATTCGAAAGGCAAGAACTGAGGGAACGCGCAGCCAGCCGATGCTCCCCAAGCAGGTTGGGGACTTTTGACACGGGCTCTACTGCGAAGTAGCTGTCAAGTTTAACAGCCCCACACCATCGCAGAGCATACATGCTTGCACGCTTTCATGTTCTGCCATCAGAGGTGCTTTTAGGGAGGCACCGCCAGATACCATATATGTAGACAGACTTTGTCCTTAGGGCTCTCCACTTACACACACCATACTTCATTGCCCCCTCTATAGGGATATCCGATCTCGTTTGATTACTCCACTTCTAGAGGGTGAGAGCTGGCACTCTGATGACTCAGTTGTTCACTTTCTTCTGTTTAATTCTAATTGCGAACTAATGGAGGCCGTTGCAAATTTTTTCTATTCTGCAATCAGAAGACGAGGCTTGAATAGCCAAGTGTCAGTGACTGATGCATCTTAGTGTTGTCCTGTATTTCCCTGATGTTTTGTGCTTTCATGCCAATAAAGGTTTTGTGTGTATTGTAATTCAAGGTCACCCAACAAAACTGACGGGCAACGCATTCAGGTCAGACTCAGAGAAGCCACACAAGACATCATTAAAAGAGCTCTGCTGCCTCGAGAACCTAACATGGCCACCAGCTAAGGTGGCTTTTAAAAAGAAGAGACAAATTCACAGAGGAGAGGTCTCTCAGTGGTTCTTTAATCCATGATAGCCAAATGGAGACTCCATATACAGAAGCACTAGACCCTGGAATTGCAGATAACGGGGACAAACAGGAAGGACAGGGTGCTGCCAGTTATGTTCACAGCTACACGTGACCTCTGCTAACCTGTGACTCCTTGTGGCTTCATCTCCACAGCTGTACACTTTACACTGGCCTAGAATTCTCCCTCCTTTTTAATCAGCCATCTCTTACATTTTCCCACTGGCAAGCCGGTGGTTTTAAAAAATGTATCAAGGCAATCCGGAGGTTCCTCGGACTCTCACTAGGGCAACTTCATTGAGAAGAGAGTGACATTGAGAACTTCTTTGAGAAGAGAGTGACATTGGATGAGCTCCCCTGACAGGCAGAAAAGGGCAACTCGAATGATAAAAGGGTTGGAACACTTTCCCTATGAGGAAAGGTTAAAGCGCTTGGGGCTCTTTAGCTTGGAGAAAGGACGGCTGAGGGGTGACATGATCGAGGTTTGTAAGATTATGCATGGGATAGAGCAGGTAGAGAAAGAGGTACTTTTCTCCCTTTCTCACAATACAAGAACTCGTGGGCACTCCATGAAATTGCTGAGCGGTCGGGTTAGAATGGATAAAAGGAAGGACTTCTTCACCCAAAGAGTGATTCACACATGGAATTCACTGCCACAGGAAGTGGTGGCGGCTACAAGCATGGGCAGGGAATTAGATAAGCATATGGAGCAGAGGTCCATCAGTGGCTATTAGCCACAAGGTATAGATAGGGGCTCTGGGGCAAGTGATACTCTGTCTTCTTGGTGCTTGGGGGGGGGGGGTCAACAGTGAGAGGGCTTCTAATGTCCTGGCCCCACTGCTGGACCTCCTGATGGCACTGGTATTTCTGGCCACTGTGTGACACAGAGTGTTGGACTGGATGGGCCTTTGGTTTGATCCAACATTGGTGTCTCTTATGTTCTTATGTTCACTGCCAATCTTCCACTGCAAGGCAGGGATTCAAGTAGAGCAAGAGGGAATTCCAATACTTCAGCCCAACACCTTGCGTGGTCCACCTGGGGGCATCCTACCACAAGCCTCAGAATCTGCTACGAATCGTGACAGTCACACAACTGATGTGCAGAGTTTTCCTTAGCAGATGAGGTGACATGGATAGATGAGGGACGGCTTTGGGGGGGAAACTGAGGGGCAGGGGAAGGGTTAAGAATCTCCCATTTGCCAATTCTCCAGTTCCCTCCACTGCAGACATTTTAAGGAATGGCAGGGGCTAATTTCTGGGCTACCAGTCCAGGAAGTCTTGCCTCTCACAGAAGCCAGATGGTTATGGAAAGCCCAGCCCTCTCTGCCTGCACTTCAACATATTACGCTTTTTCTCATATGCTTGGTGCATTCATAACCTTTAGGACCAATGATGTGCCAACAACTGGATTTGAAAAAACCAAGCCAAAGACAACTGAGAGGAGAGAGATCTAATCATACCAGTGGAAGCATAGAGACCACAGGCAGAAGATCACGGGGCAGTACAAACGGACGGCAATTATTGTTGCCGACTATTTTGTATATCTGCCCCCTCAGGAGGGCATGGAAGAGGAGGCGCCATTTTGATGCTCTGCCTCAGGAACTGGAAACATTTCGAGCCACTCTGGAGAGCTGGTGCGGTGTAATGGTTAGCGTGTCAGGCTAGGATTTGGGACATCCAGGTTCAAATCCCTCCTCTGGCATGAAACTCGCGGGGAGACCTTCCTTCTCTGCCTAGCCTCTCCCACAGGGTTACTGTGAGGGAAAACTGGAGGCTGCCCTGGGCTCCTTGGTGGATAAAATGCAACAGACAGATCTCTGCAGGAGTGGATCAAGTGTTGTTGGCTC